TGGTATAGATCTGAATATTGATCAATCCTGAAGTACTGACGGCCAATCTAATTTCTTGAGGTCCAAGAATGTCAGAATAGTACAGATATCCCCAAATTACCCCTTTTTGCAGAGTAGACAGTCCGACATACTTCATAAGAGGCATGGCGAGTTTTTTGAAGTTGTATTTTTTTGTCATAATTTTTTTTGAAATGAAAAAATGAAAAATTATTTTCACTATTTTTTTTTTTACATACTGTCACCAGTGCAGTACAGCGTCATCATATAACTGGCATGGCGGTGAACAGGGACACTGACTGGTGACAGTATGACAGTTTTTTTTTATTTTTTTTTATATTTAATTTTTTTATTACATTTTTTTTTATTTTTAAGATTTTTTTTTCATATTTTACTATGACCAAAATAGAAATGTTACCATAGTAACATGTACTACTTTGGGGAAGTGATCAGTATTTTTTTTTTTTTTTTTTACACAATTTGCTTATAGCAAAGAATTACTTTGCTATAAGCAAGCATTTACCTGAAGGAAATCGATTCATTCAGCTTTTTTTTTTTTTTTTTTTTTTTTTTTGTGCTTAGCTGTGATTTGGTCACAGCTAATCACATGACATGTGCATGTGATTAGCTGTGACCATTCACAGCTAGGCACTAGTATACAATGGATGGCATCATGAATGAAGCCATCCATGTATACAACTGTCATGTGACCTGCTGTGATTGGTCACAGCAGGTCACATGGTACCAGCAACGGGAGCCGGTACTCGGATCTGTCATCGGCCGTGTCTGAGGTGCACGGCCGGCGACAGATCGCACTGCTGCGCCGCTCTGCACTAGCTGCAAACGCCGCATGTGCGGGAGCACGCCAAATGGCGTGCACCCGGAATGGAGGAGCACATCTGAAGCCGCCAAACGGCCATTGGCCGGGCGGCTAATGGTTAAAGAGTTATATTTTTTTTTCTTTCTGTTATTTTACCATTTAAATTTAAACTTTTTTTCTGTCAACCTTTTGAAGTATATTACAAAAATGTGTAAAAATTGATTTTAAAAAAGTACCTTTTATTACATTTGTAAAAACCTTTTTTGTGCCATTAGTGCCATTATAAACAAGATAAATTATGCATCTTTCCAAGACAATGGTAGGTAATATCAGAAGGTGTTAACAGAATCCGAAGATCAGGTAAGCCAAAAAACAAGTAGACAGGACAAATCCAAAGACAAGCTGGGTCAAGGTATTCAAACAACAAACAAGATATAAACATTAATCAGAGAGTGCTTATTTTTTAAATCCGTTTCTATGCTTAATGTTTGTATCTTGAAGGTTGTCTGGCTACCTAACCCTGCTTTTGTTGTCTTTTCTGTTTCTACCATCTGATATTAGCTACCAATGCCCTTAAAGATGACCAAGTGTCCTGCTTACCTTCACCTGTTTGCTGCTGCCTTTCTGGACTTTTAGCTTGGACAATTACTGTACTTAAATCAGTGCAGCCTGTATCAGAAGACACCAGTGGAGCTGCAGATTGTTCTGCCATCATGCAGTGGCAATGTGATCTTGCATCTGCAGCTCACCGCAGTGTCCTCCATGCAGGAATGAGTCAGCACGAGCACACAGCGGCCACAATCACTGACAAGAAGCATTGTGATCCTAGGGTGATGGCTTCCAACAGGAGGAGACTGATGCCATCTTAGCTGGTCTCATACCCTTCTTAATTTAGTACTCCAGCCTTTCCTATCTACACTGCAGTTTATTCAAGACTGTTTAACAACATATAATAGATGGATGCATTTTTTATTCTGTGTTTGTTAACCACATTTTTGGTCTATAAATTGAATAGAAAATACAATAATGAATCTTTAGCACACTGCAGAAGGAGTGTGTGTGGTTTGTCTTGTGAGAAAATGATACATAAATGGTTTTATACACTTCGATAACTCTATAGTAATAGTCAATAAATAATCAACAGCTTTAGGGCAAAGTACACACTACACACATGCATCTAGACTGCTGACCTTCTTTGTCTCTACTACAGGGACTTGCATCCTGTTTTAAGTCATGAGACTTGCTTATGATCTCTATGCTTGTTATGGACGGAGTAATACAGGAACATTAAGCCTTTTAATAAAGATCAGTAAAATAATTTTTCTTTCGTCTGCTAGATGTAAATTATGTCTGGAATTTTCATTCAGGTTTTTAAAGGTCTGACATGGGAAACTGTGATGTCAGTGCAATAAAGATATGAGTGGTAAAGAGACTAGAAAAGAAAAAATGTATAGTATCTGCATAATTACAGAAAAAATAAATTGGCTGGATAGTTGACTTGCAGAAGGTCTGCTGCTCTGTATTCATACCTATCCTGCATGTCATCCAGCCCGCAAAATAGGTAATCACATCCTGCGGAAAATCCAGTTTTACTGCTGTAATATTACAAAAGAGAGCTGCCATGTTATAGAGACTGCTGAGTTTCATAGAGAGACAGACCACTAAGTTACAGAGAAAACCATTAAAGAGTAACTGAACACTTGTGGATTTCCAATAGGTTGCTAGACCCTATAATGTGTCTTGCCTTAGTTTATTCCTCTTTGGTATGGGACAGACAGTATAAAAAAACATTACATTTATACTGCAGCTTTATAGTATCTATCATGGGCTATCCTGAGTTGGTGGAAAAATAAAGTCTTGACATGCTTAGGGAACTTTTTGACAGGAGATTAAATTTATAACCTGGACCATTATAAAAAAGAATGCACTTACTCCCATCAAAATGTTTGCTTCAAGATCAGATAGCCTCTCTCTTATAGTTAACGGTTTAAGTTTTTTTTTTTTTTTCAATAAGAATCATGTTATACTTAGTTGCTTTGTGCAACAGTTTTGTGCAGAGCAGCTCCGAAACCCTCTTTTTCTTGGGTCCGCTGGCGCTCCTGGCTCCTCTCATCACTGAGTGCCACTATTGGTAGCCACTTGCTAGGGAGTCACTCACTCATGCTTGCTCCTTAGCCATCTCTGTTTATCCATAGACATACAGAGCATGGCTCAGTCCTGCCCCCGTTCCCTCCCTCACTGGCTGTGATTGCCAGCAGCAGGAGACAATGGCTCCCACTGCTGCCTTTGAGCCAAAGAGGAGGGGGAGAGCCTCTGCTCTCGTGCACATTGCTGGATCGAGATCGGGCTCAGGTAAGTATAAGGGGTGGGTGGGGGGGGGGAGATGCACACAGAAAGTTTTTTACCTTCATGCATAGAATGCATGAAGGTAAAAAAAAAAAACCTTCAGCCTTTAGAAACACTTTAAGGACTAAATGTAGATATGCTACCCATTTTAAGAGGATCTATCTCAAGGGTGTATAATTTGCTCACCAGATCTACATATGCAACAATGGGAGCAGGACCTAATACAACTATAGACCTTCTTGTCTGGATGTAGCCAGTGATTGCACATTCCTCAGATCAACCGTATGTTTCATGTCATGTATTATGAAGCTGTAGTTAATTCAGAGTTTCCCACTGACCACTCCCAAAACGTGTAGTCAGAGCCCCCCCCCTTTGAGAGGGACTTTTAAGAAGAACAAGTGAGTTAGAGACACACACACAGAGATCTCCCAGCAACATCGTAACAAAAGGAGATCAAGAAATCACCCTGCTCTACAACTTGGATCTGCAAACCCAGGCATATGGGCAAGTAACTTAACCCTGTAATCTCCTTCCTAATTATCTCTTTGCTGTGTCTTTATATACATATATACATATATTTTTGTGACATCTTTGTAAATATTGTATCGCACCTGTTTGACCCTTTTAGTAATCTTTCTTTCTGAAAGTGTTCAACTGTTTCTAAGTGCTTATTTGCAATTCACGAATCTCTGCCTTTGAAGAGACGCTACTGTTTGTTATATCTCTGTATAACAGGTCCGCGGGCCGTGCTATACAGATCAATATTTCAATCATTATAGTGTATATTTGATAACGGGAGTTTCCCAGTCTCCGACAAAAGTGGTGGTGGCAGTAGAGGGTTAGTGGCGTAATTAACCCGACCCAGTAACAAGCGCATTCAGGCTGCAGGCACCGATTGTAGTCCATTAGCTGGGCAATCGCTGTGCTGGGTGCAGCTGAGTGTGGCCTTGTTATGCGTGTCACACCGCGGTTTTAGATCGGCCGGCCCTTCGGTCACGAGTTTGGTGAGAAGGTCTGGGGTCTGACGCCGTGGGCGTGACGTATTACTGTTAGTCGCGGTTGTGCGATTGTCGCATGTTTGTGGCGGCGATCGTGGATCCGTGACAGTCTTGCCATGCAAGAACACTTAATAAAACATCACTTTTAATCTATTTTTTTTAATCTAAAACATCACATTTAAAATGTACTGTTCTTATAGAAAAGATACACAAACATAAAAAGGATCAGCATACTCGAATGAATATGACCAAAGTAAATCAATGGGTTTTGAGTACTTCTACTGCTACTTTGACATATGGAAAAATGAGTCAAGCAAATGCACAAACCCACCACTAGCATGAATGTTTCCTTAAAGACCCCCAGGGTATTTTGTAAGGATGATAAGCCCCTTGACCATTAGCTGGCAAGCATCACATCAACAAAACCTCATCTTTATATTTTACTAAAAATTAGGTAGTATAGTGTTTGTGTGCACTATAATTAACTTTAGTGTATGTTGCACTGAAAATATAAATTTGACAAATAGTTGCCCTGATATTGTGACAAAAAAGGGTTAAAGCTAGCAGGTCCTTAGCGCAGAAATGAGTCACATAAATGCAGTCACCTTCTTTACCCTAACTACCATTTGATGGAATTCACCTTTACATAATACTTTCCTTTCTTCTTGTAAAATGCTGGACCATTGCAAATATTTAAAAATACCTAGTTGCTCGTTTGTATGACAAGTCAGCCTTTTTATCAGGTTATGCCAGTCAGTCTGTACTCCAGAATAGTGCATATATTGTACATTTAGTGGACTGTTATGTTATTCACATACTTTAATCTCTTGTGTTAACAGGTAGATATTTTGATATGGCTCTAAAGAAGCTTCCAAAGTGTGACCTTCCGGATGAAATCAGAAAGTAAGTATTGCGAGGTGTCGGGCAATTAAGCCACATAATGAAAAGAAAACCTAATATATTCTGCTTGAAGTTTGTGAAATACGGCCTTTATGTATTATTGTTCTGTTGTATTTCTTTGAATAAAACAGCATGTTCAAAGTATGAAAAGTCATATACCAGGCTAATACTGAAAGTGATTGTAAAGGTTTATTTTTGTAAAATAACAAACATGTCATACTTACCTGCTCTGTGCAACGCATTTGCACAGAGCAGCCACAGTCTCCTCTTCTTGGGTCTCCCACCAGTGCTCCTGGCTCCTCCCTCCTGCTGAGCGCCCCCGAGAGGAACACACAGAGCGTGGCTGAGCCCTACCCCCCGCTCCCTCCTCACTGGCTGTGATTGACAGTAGTGGGAGCCAATGGCTCCTGCTGCTGTCTCTCAGCCAATGAGAAGGGAGAGACTTGGGAGAGAGCTGCTGCTCTCATGCACATCATTGGATTGGGATCGAGCTCAGATAATTATAGGATGCAGGAAGGTAAAAAACCTTCAGCCTTCATAACCACTTTATAGATAAAGTATACTGTACTTAGAGTGCATGCATATTATGATTTTATATTACTATGTTTAAAGTACTTTTTCACATGTTTACATGCTTGTTGTTCCATCCACTGGAGGCAGAGTAGGTTAATGTATACACAGCCTATGCATATACTATGTGAAAGTATTGTATATTTAAAAAAAGAAAACAATAATGTAATGTATTGCAGCTTACCAGTCCTTAGAAGTGGGGATGCATTTGTTTTCTTTTTCAGACTAAGTACATTTTCTGCAAGTACAGAAATGTATCTGTTGAACATGGTAGAAATTCAGTGTCCTTCTCATGCACTGAAGTGAAATCTCAACTAATTGTATGTGTACCCTGCCAGGGGCAGACTGACAACTCATGGGCCCCCCGGGCAATAGGGGATCATGGGGCCCCTGTGTCCTTGCCCACACTCAAAGCACACCCAAAAAAGCCTATAAAAGGTACCAGGGGCAGTTCATGGGGCCCCCTACTGACCCCGGGCCCTCGGGCAGTGCCCGAGTACTCGAATGGTCAGTCCGCACTTGTTCCCTGCTATCTTCTTTGAACTACAAAACTCTTCCCCTTGTGTAACAGATGTTGAGAGGACGGAGCTGTTTTGTAGTCCCTACATGCTTCCTGTGCTAGGCTGACAACACTAGTGCTTCAAAAATACAGAACAGTGCATGAGCAAAACTAATTCCGAATTAAAATAAAGGAAAATAATGCTGCCTTCACATCTAAGTTGGAAAGCTAAAATATATATGTAATATATATTGTAAATATATACCGTATATGTATATATTTACAAACCATAAACAGAGAACCTAGTTTAAACCTTAGTGACTAAGGGTAAAACAAATGGTTAAAGCCCAAGCATAATTTTGCAACTTTTACGTGTTAGTAAAACTGTACATCACAACTACTTTGTGTATCCAGGTGATTTATAATTATACTTTGTTTTTTTTCAGGACATATTGGGCTTTGTTTGGTGGTAACTGGTAACAGATATCTCCTAATATTAATTATCAAAGGAAAACTGTCCTAGAATAGTAAAAAAATTAAAAAAAAAAAAATGTTTTTTTTAAATTTAGCTGTATATTTCTTTCTATTGCCATAATTTACCACCTAAGAACAACCCAAAATGAATTCTCCTGATGATCGCAGTGATAGTTATGCAGGCCATAGATGGGTCGAAAATCAGCCGATTTTTCTTTTAAAAAAACGAAAAATCGGTCGTTCAAGCAGCCGACGTTACCAGCAATGGTAAAAAAAAATCGGCCGATTTTCATCCCGTCTACAGCCGGCAAAAAGTGTCCCTGCAGAGAGCTCCGCTATTTCTTTGACAGTTCTTTGACATTTATAGCGGTTGCAACAATGTATCTATTTGTATCCATTTAGGATACAGATGTTTTTATTCGGAAACAAATGGATACATTGTTGCAACTGCTATAAATGTCAAGGAACTGTCAAAGAAAAAGTGGAGCTCTCTGCAGGGACACGTTTTGGCAGACTGGAATTCCTCTTCTTTTTCATCCTCTTCTTCATCCTCTTCTTCTTCTTCTTCATTCTCTTCTTCTTCTTCTTCATTCTTCTTCTTCTTCTTCTTCATCCTCTTCTTCTTTCTTCTCTTCATTTCATCCTCTTCTTTTTCATCCTCTTCTTCTTTTCATCCTCTTCTTTTTCATCCTCTTCTTCTTTTTCATCCTCTTCTTTTTCATCCTCTTCTTTTTCATCCTCTTCTTTTTCATCCTCTCTTCTTCTTCATCCTCTTGTTCATCCTCCTCTTCTTCTTCCTCTTCTTCATCCTCTTCTTCTTCATATTCTCTTCTTCATATTCCTCTTCTTCATTTCCTCTTCTTCATCCTCTTCTTCTTCCTCTTCTTCTTCTTCCTCTTCCTCTTCTCCTCTTCTTCATCCTCTTCTTCTGCTTCTTCCTTTGCTTCTTCATCCTCTTCTTCTTCATCCTCTTCTTCATCATTCCTCTTCTTCTTCATCCTCTTCTTCTTCGTCATCCTCTTCTTCTTCTTCATCCTCTTCATCCTCATCCTCTTCTTCATCCTCTTCTTCATCCTCATCCTCTTTCTTCATCCTCTTCTTCCTCTTCTTCTTCCTCTTCTTCATCTTCTTCTTCCTCTTCTTCTTCTTCTCTTCTTCTCTTCTTCTTCCTCTTCTTCTTCTTCTCTTCCTTCTTCTTCTTCTTCTTCTTCTTCATCCTCTTCTTCTTCCTCTTCTTCATCCTCTTCTTCATCCTCTTCTTCATTCTTCATCCTCTTCTTCATCCTCTTCCTCTTCTTCCTCTTCTCCTCTTCTTCTTCCTCTTCTTCCTCTTCTTCTTCTTCTCTCTTCTTCTTCTTCTCTTCTTCCTCTTCTTCATCCTCCTTCTTCATCTATTCTTCTTCATCCTCCTTCTTCATCCTCTTCTTCTTCATCCTCTTCTTCTTCATCCTCTTCATCCTCTTCCTCTTCTTCATCCTCTTCCTCTTCTTCATCCTCTTCCTCTTCTTCTTCATCCTCTTCTTCTTCATCCTCTTCTTCTTCATCCTCTTCTTCTTCATCCTCTTCTTCTTCTTCATCCTCTTCTTCTTCTTCTTCTTCTCTTCATCCTCTTCTTCTTCCTCCTCTTCTTCTCATCCTCCTTCTTCTTCTTCATCCCCTTCTTCTCCTTCATCCCCTTCTTCTCCTTCATCCCCTTCTTCTCCTCATCCCCTTCTTCTCCTTCATCCTCTTCTTCTCCTTCATCCTCTTCTTCTCCTTCATCCTCTTCTTCTTCTTCATCCTCTTCTTCTTTTTGTCTTCCTCTTGCAGGTCACTGCTCATGCCCGGTTTTTTTTATTGGTAAAATCGGCCAATCGGCTGATTTTTTTTTTCAACTTTACCGATAAAAAATATCTGCCAAAAATACCGAAAAACGGCCGAACAATTAGCCCACTAACGATCCGAAAATCGGCCTATTTTATTTTCCGGCCGGAAAATCGGCTGATTTTCAACCCATCTATGGCCTGCATTATTGTTTGTACCCGTAGTATGGCCCAGAATCAATGGTGCCCATTTTGCAATTTATTTATCCTGCCTAATACACACGGACACTGTTCGTAATTTACATTTTTTTTTTGTAATTCTACCCAAAATATGCTGACTGTGACCCTGACCTTGACCTTTTAACTTGACCCTAACACTAACCCTGGCAAACCTTGATCTAGTTTCCTTTTTTTTTTAATAATTTCCTTTCCTGCAAGAATGGAAGGATACATTGTATGTTTCTCTTTAATAAGTAGAGGAAGTAAATACAGGGGCGGGCTAACAGTGACTGATCATAGTGATAGCCAATCAGAGAGTATAACAGCGATCAGATGACTGGGAACCTGGAGTCCTAGGTCCCAATTGTTAGTATGGGACTTGGGGTTCTCCATGAGATCCCGGTATCTGTGCTGGGAGTGCGAGTCAACATGTCATGGCCGAAATTGTTGGCACCCTTGATATTTTTCCTGAAAATCAAGTATTTCACACAAAAAAGGTATTGCATTAACACATGGCTATACACATGTTTTATTTTGTTTATTGGAACAAATTTAAAACAGAGGCAGAAAAGCAAATATGACATAATGTCACACAAAACCCCAAAAATGGGCTGGACAAAAGTATTGGCACCCTTAACTTAATATTTGGTTGCACACCCACATAACTGAAATCAGTCGAAAATCGGCCTATAACCATCAATAAGCTTCTGACACCTCCGGCCGGAAAATTTGGCCACTGATTTTTGCAAACAGCTCCAGGTCTCTCTTATGGAAGGACACCTTTTCCCAACAGCAATTTTAAGATCTCTCCCAGGTGTTCAATGGGATTTAGATCTGGGCTCATTGCTGGCCACTTCAGAACTCTCCAGCGCTGGTGCCCATTTTTGACGTATGTTTGGGGTCAAAGACCCAGGATCTTGGACGCAAACCCAGCTTTCTGACACTGGGCCCTACAGTGCGACCCAAAATCCTTTGGTAATCCTCAGATTTCATGATGCCTTGCACACAGTCAAGGCACCCAGTGCCAGAGGCAGCAAAACAACCCCTCATTGAACCTCCACCATATTTTACCGTAGGTACTGTTTTTTTTTCTTTGTAGGCCTCATTCCGTTTTCGGTAAACAGTATGATGTGCTTTACCGAAAAGCTCTATCTTGGTCTCATCTGACAAGACGTTTTCCCAGAAGGCTTTTGGCTTACTCAAGACATTTTGGCCTAACTGTAGTCTTGCTTTTTTATGTCTCTGTGTCAGCAGTGGGGTCTCCTGGGTTCCTGCCATAGCGTTTCATTTCATTTAAATGTCGACGGATAGTTCGCGCTGACATTTCCCTGAGCCTGCAGGACAGCTTGAATGTCTTTGAACATGTTTGATCCACCATCCGGACTATTCTGCGTTGCAATCTTTCATCAATTTTCCTCATCCGTCCACGACCAGGGAGATTAGCTACAGTGCCATGGGTTGCAAACTTCTTGATAATGTTGCGCACTGTGGACAAAGGCAAATCTAGTTCTCTGGAGATGGACTTGTAACCTTGAGATTGTTGATATTTTGCCACAATTTTGGGCTCAGGTCCTCAACAGTTCTCGTCTCCTCTTTCTGTTGATGCTTAGTGTGGCACAGACAGACACACAATGCAAAGGTTAAGTGAACGTCTCTAACTTTTTATCTGCTTTCAGGTGTGATTTCATATTGCCCACACCTGTTTACTTGCCCCAGGTGAGTTTACAGAGCATCACATGCTTGTAACATTCTTATTTATCCGCAGTTGTGAAAGGGTCTTTTGTCCAGCCCATTTTTGGAGGTTTGTGTGACATTATGTCGAATTTGCTTTCTTTCCTCCCTTTTTTTTGTTTTGTCCCAATACTCACAAAGGGAATAAACATGTGTAGATCAAAACATGTGTAATGCAATGTTTCGTGGAAATACATGATTTCCTGGAGAAATGCAAGTTAACAATTTCATATATATGCCCCCACAGATAAAGACCCACTTCCGTGAGGCTTCATACATGTGTACGGTCTGCGGGAAGGGGTTCAAAACATCAGCACTCACAGTCATTTACATCACACACTAAAGCCGGGCATAGACAGATCGAAATTCAGCCAGTTAAGCAAGAGCCGGACAAATTTCGATCTATCTCTGGGCTGGCTGGTTGGTCTGAAGTTGATCTATTGATCAACTTCAGTACAACCAGCCTGTTGTATTTTTTTTGCATATAGTCACTGCCGGCAGCTACAGCCCCCAGCAATGATCATTTGTGTTCTGATGGCAGGGAAAGCTCCAGCTGTCAGAACACAGTATCACAGCGGGAGGGATTTTCCCATCAGACTGACTGTATTGTGGGGGAATGAAGCAATTTTCTTTCCTTCTTCTTGTGGTTGAAAGAAATTGCATATTCTGTGGTCAGTGGGAAAAGTAAATGCCCTTGCTTCAGTGGTCAATGAGAGCAAAAAAGGTCCCTGCTTCACTCAGGTCAGTGGGATTAATAAAACGCCTTGTTTGTATAATCACTATTTTTTGTCTGTTTTCTTCCTAGTATTTCCTGCAAGAAATGTGTTGTGGTTGGAAATGGTGGAGTGCTTCGAAACAGCACATTAGGCAAGAAAATTGATAGCTATGATGTCATAATAAGGTAGAGTGACATTCTGTGTCTTTTCTCAAACTCTGTACATTTAGTGAAGTTTAAACATGTTGTAGGGGTCACCTCAGGTCAGTGTGACACTTGAGAACTTTTTTTTTTTTTTCCTCTTCAGTAGATTTGCATTGCTTCATCCTGCTTATGCATCCAATACACTTTTAAGGTTTTGGGCTCTCTGACAGTGCTTTCACAGTAGTCTAAGTGGAAGTGATAGCATTTAGAGAATGTTACAGTTATACCTTTACCACCATCAACCTGTAATTAGCGAACACCCCTGATTCATAACTCTACATCCAGGAACGTTTCTATCATTGAACAAATAATTGTGCCGGTCTCCAAAGGGCCAGCCTACAGCTTGCATCAGGTTGACTGGGGGGGAAGAACCTGGAAAGAGAAAAATATAAGGATATATATGTATAAAAAAAAATTCAGCCTGCAAAAGCTATCAGCTGCAGCAGCAGCTTTAAATTTTGTTTAAATGTGGCTTGCTTACTAGCACTCTAATGTATAAGTGATCTGGGTGCGTGTAAAGCCACGTGATCACTTCTACACCCTTAAAAACAACTTCCTCCCTATTCTCCCTGACATGATTCCTGGGTTCACTTGCTCCTCCTGAGACCTCAGGACCACTTAAAACTGCTTCAGGGTGGGAAACAGAGGGATCTCAAACATCTGTTCCCTGGTATCTCCACAGCACTGTAAACATGGCTCAGCCCTGAGCACTAGTGTTATCACAGCAGTCATAGCCCTGTAAGCTGTGACTAGGAAAGGGGAGACTCTTTGTACCTGATCTGCCCAGGCACACTACAAAAGAGACCTCAAGGGTCTAATAGAGCCATTATGTTTTAATAAAGTGAAGCTTTCCCTTACAACTCAATCATAAAATGTAATTGTTAGCTCCTTATGTTAGCAATAAAACTGAAATGTATTGCAAGAAAAAAAACATTTAGTTTATCGCTGGAATGCATGAACATTTTCCAAAGTTTTATCCCTGCTGCAAGTGAAGGACTCACTCCCCTGTCATTCCCTGGGGGCATTTTTTTTTCACTCCAATGGAGCTGTGATTTGTGGTAATCTCACGTGACAGCTTCTTGTGATTAGTTGTTTATCCATATATTCACACAGTAGAGGTCACATTGACTGGAGTTACGTGCCAGACAAAGTAATTATGGCAGATTATGCCATATGTGTTTTGATTTGTGGTGCTCAGACAGTGTAGTTCCACTTTAAGATTTCAAGTTTATCAATTCCTAAAGAATTTGGCATTTGATAAACATGCTGGGGTCAGTCGTTGACAATATGTAATTCTTCCATATGTTTGTTTTTGGGTTTCCTCCTACAAACCTACAATCTATAAATATAAAGCTAGGTCAGCTTGCTACTGCCTTTAAATTTTTTGATTTGGTATCCTCTGAATAAGTTTCAGCTCATTTAACTAACAAATGAACTTAAAGCAAACAGCTACAATTTCATTGGAAAAACTTATACTATCTGTGAATTCTTTCACCTATCATTGGATTTATGATTCTGTTTGAGTTTAATTTGACCTAGGTGTTGCCCCTTCCTCTCCCTATTTAAGTGCTTTATGTGAATATCATAGGGACAGAATTTAAGATGCCTATTTATAAAATATGAAATGCTTTTTTTTAACTATATATTAGAATTTTTTAGAATATTTTTACTCACATCCTATTTCATTCGAAAGGATGAATGATGGTCCTGTCCTCGGATATGAAGATGATGTTGGGGAAAGGACTACTTTCCGGCTTTGCTACCCAGAGTCCATTTTCTCAGATAGCTTGCACTATGACCCAAACACCACTGTAGTACTCATGATGTTCAAACAACATGATGTTAAATGGCTGTACAGTGTACTTTTGCACAAAACAGTGGTAAGTATGCAATACTTTATATTGTAAAATATTAATCTGTTTTAGGTCAATACCAATGGTTTGGTTATTAAAAGTAAAACGTGCAATCACATTCTCATAGGCAATACATTACCTAATCATATTTCGGTGGAAATTGCTCTCTGTTATCATTGGCAGAAGTGACATTTTGGTAGGTAGCCTAATCTGCACTAGCAGTAATCGAAGTGCCTTTCAAACTTACAGCCCTGGAACCAGTACCTTGTAGTGATAGGAGGTAAAAACTGAAGAGTAAAAAAAAAGATGCAGAATGTTTTGTTTTTGCTTTTTTTTTTTTTTTTTCCAAAGAATTTACACCCATGCTTGGGGAGTTTAAGTAAACCTGAAATTGGTTGAAAATTGGTAAAGAAATAAAGGTATGCCATAGTAGACATCTGTCTGTACTGCAGTTTATCACTCCTAGGGTAAAGTGGTTGTTTTCACCTTTGTATTTGTGGTGCTTTATAAATTGCATTTCTTTGAGCATTGATGAGTTGTTTATCAGACATACACTATTTTCCCAAAAGTATTGGGACACCTGCATTTACACACAAATGAAATATAATGGCATCCCTGTCTTAGTCCGTAGGGTTCAATATTGACTTGGCCCACCCTTTGCAGCTATACCAGCTTCAACTCTTCTGGGAAGGCTGTCCTTAAGGTTTAGGAGTGTGTCTATGGGAATGTTTGACCATTCTTCAAGAAGTGCATTTGTGAAGTCAGGCACTGATGTCGGATGAGAAGGCCTGGGTCGCAGTCTCCGCTCTAATTCATCCCAAAGATGTTCTATCGGGTTGTGGTCAGGACTCTGTGCAGGCCTGTCCAATTTCTCCACCCCAAACTCACTCATCCATGTCTTTATGGACCTTGCTTTGTGCATTGGTGTGCAGTCATGTTGGAACAGGAAGGGGCCATCCCCACACTGTTCCCACAAAGTTGGGAGCATGAAATTGTCCAAAATGTCTTGGTATGCTGACGCCTTAAGATTTCCCTTCACTGGAACTAAGGAGCCAAGCCCAACCCCTAAAAAAAACAACCCCGCTCCATAATCCCCCCCTCCACCAAACTTTACACTTGGCACAATTCAGTGAGGGAAGTAGCGTTCTCCTGGCAACTGCCAAACCCAGACACGTCCATCAGATTGGCAGACAGTGAAGCATGATTTGTCACTCCAGAGAACACGCCTCCATTGCTCTGGAGTCCAGTGGCGGCGTGCTTTACACCACTGCATCCGCCGCTTTGCATTGCACTTGGTGATGTAAGGCTTGGATGCAGCCGCTCGGCCATGGAAACCCATTCCATGAAGCTCTCTATGCACTGTTGTGCTAATCTGAAGGCCACACTAAGTTTGGAGGTCTTTAGCTATTGACTCTGCAGATAGTTGGCAACTTCTGTGTACTGTGTGCTTCAGAGTGTGCTGACCGTGCTCTGTCATTTTACGTGGCCTACCTTTTCGTGGCTGAGTTGCTGTTGTTCCAAGTTGCTTCCACTTTGTTATAATACCACTAACAGTTGACCATGGAATATTTAGTAACACGGAAATTTCATGGGTGAACTTATTGCACAGGTGGCAACCTAACACAGTACCACGCTTGAATTCACTGAGCTCCTGAGAGCGACCCATTCTTTCACAAATGTTTGTAGAAGATGTCTGCATGACTAGGTGCTTGCTTTTAAACACTTGTGGCCATGGAGGTGATTGGAACACCTGAATCCAATGATTTTGGAGGGGTGTCCAAATACTTTTGGCAATATAGTGTATTTTTTATGTGATATGTAAAATTAGATAGGTCCACAGAAGCTCTGCATATATTATTAAACTTGCAAGACCACAGTAAATCTGTAAACTTCGTTAAATGTCTTGTTGTCTTAAATTCTGGTATCTCCCAACAAATGTAGTTCTAGTTTCCTAAAACAGACCTGAAGGTAAACCCTGTACTTTATATCTGCTACTCTGCTTGCCCTCATTATAATGTTCCTCCTCATGTTCCTCTTGTACTTATGAGTGGGTGCAGGCTTTGTGCAAGTTTCCCAGGTACTGTCTACTTCCACTTATAAAAAAAAGTACGCTGAGGGCCTCTATGGCGAGTATAGAAGATTGATAGATGCAAGTATAACTGCAATTATGACAAACACCAAATTGCTGCTGACTCCACCCAAAATAAATAAATTGGTGCAGTCACCAAAACTCATCAACAAATCATGCAACAACCGAAAGTGAAAGATTACCCCTGGAAGGAAGTTTCAAATGGGACCATGCAGCTTAATACAAAATGGCTTTATTGAAAAATAGTAGTAACAAAATATATACAAAAATGAACTAAAACCACTAACCGCCACCACACTAAATTAAAAAAGACAACGTGGTCTTGTCACCTAAGCAACTGCTCACTAGGCCACATTCATACACGAAATGTGGTAAGATGTATAATAGAATGGAACTTAATAGAGCTGCAAAAGGCCTCAGAGGACAATATGATAAATAATGGATACCTATAAATCCAAGAAACATGTAAAAAACTCAACAATACAAGTCCAAAAAGAAAAGGAAGGAAAATCTCTTCAACAATGTAGGTGGGAAGATCGTATTCCTACTGGGGAGTAAGCTCACAATCCCGGTGCTGTAAATCTTTAAATGATGTGCAACACCACGGTGACCATATGAAATAGGTGGATCCTCACCTTCTTTTATGGACCCATATAGAAAACAGGTCAAATAGGCATCTTCCCTCCTAGTGGGGGTGAAATAGTGGCCTCTCTTCTGTGGATAATCCGCCTTTCATATATGGTCACTGTATCCTCCAATAAACTCTTTAATGGTATAGCTGGCTTTGTGAGTAGAACTCACAACCATATAAAGTGACCATAGTGCAGCACATTTCCTAAAACCTCAAAGTTTTTTTTTTTTTTTTTTTTTTAATACACTCATGTTACAGTAGTAAAAAACTGCAGTGTTACAAAAGCTGTGAAGCTGTGATATACACTATGTAGCGTCTCCAACTGCACTAGCGTTGTTATGGCTCTGATACACCCCTGATAAAGTTGCGTGCTTTGTGACGATACGCGCAGGGAGGAGCCAGGTGACATCAGAGCTGGAACACCACTAGCACGGTGGAAGAGGCTGCATAGTGTATATCACAACTTCAGAGCTTTTGTCACACTGCGTTTTTTTTACTACTGTAACATGTGAGTGCATTTTTAATAACATTAAATCTATATGTATGTTATGTTTAGTGTTTTTGAGCAGCGCAGCACTACACATCGGTTTATTACTTCACATGTGATGAACACACAATTTATGTGTTTGCAGCAGCTCGTATTCACAATTGTTTCACCATTTAATTATTTGGCAGTGCACAATTTTTTGTACCACTTATAAATAATGGAAACCACTATACCGTTTCCTAAATATGCGAGTTACTGATATAAAGTGTATGCGAAACACATCATGATATATAGGCATGTAAGATAACACAGTCACAGGTAACACCTAGATGTGTAACCCACATTGATGTTGTTGATGAACAATTTGTTCATAAGAATAACCAGCAATCTGGATACAAAATGATGTTGGAGGATAAATAGCTCACAGCAGATAACCAAAGTCAATTCTCCTCATTGACCTCCCATATAAAGCATAATAGGGCTATAGCACCACCAATATAAGCAGATCATTGCTCACTGCTCACCTAGCCTTCAGAAAGGTGTGTTCCTCATCCGTGTCGGCAGTCCTTCACAATGTTGCAAAACTATCGATACTCGCCAGATGGCGACATATGTAGCCATTCCCGCTGGTGCGATGTCCACATCAAGTAGAAATATAGGTGATCGCAGAGGCATATGAGGCTCAGGTGGCATATTAGGCCATGAATTGAATGGTGGTTGAGGTGAACTGCCACTGTGCGTGGTGACATCACATACGTAACATATACGTGAGAACATGCAATTGTACATGCTTCGCCCAATGCGCTTGGGCCTCTTCAGGGATTTCACTTCTCATTTTGAAGGACTGCCAACACGCAATTGTATGGTAGAGGCAATAATTTGGCTGCTTCACTCTGAGGAGCCCACTCCAGTTGTTAGGAAAGCATTTCAGCGGTGCTTAGAAGTATTTTATAGTGGCATGTCTATACAGTCAGTAGTTAACCCTAGGTCCATTTGAAGGGATAATTTGAAATCTTGCTCATTTAAATAAGGGTGGATCTTTCTGCCCTTTTGTTCTCTTTGCTCACTTACTATGCTTTCTCCTGTACTCTTCTTAGTGTAAAACTATTACTAGCCACTGTAGGCAGGCATACCTAGAAGCTCCTGTGCAGAAATCACCCCTCTAAACTCTTGAGAAATGCAAAGCGCTACATGATCCAACTTGGTATGACCATTCAGAACAATCTCTTTTCATGTTGAGTGCCGCCTGTCTCCTTCCATCCCGTTACATAACTTTGTGGATTCCCTGCATGCTTTGCAGCTTTTCCTCTGTTTGGTTTGGATTCCTAAGGACCACATATCCCATGGTACATTGCTGCTTGCAAGCAGTGATTTCTGTACTGACTCCACCTCCTGAAACTCTTCCTCTCAGCACCTCTGTAGTTCAGAAGGCAGGCTCTAAAATGTGTGACACAGTAGTGCCTTCTCACAGGCTGTGAGAGAATGTGTGCCACAGAATTTAAGAAAATACGTGTGTGGGATGTGCGGGGATCTTCACAAAATACATATACAAACTTCAAGCTTGCTCAGATTAATAGAAGTAGGCTAGAAATAATTGAAATATAATGTGGAAATGAATGTATATTACATTTTGACAATAGATACACTTTAAAAGCCTGTTGAGTATGTTTTATGTGTTGTTGACACATCTCCTTTAGTAATTGTAGCATTACTGCAGTTGCAGAGATGCTGGCTACCTTTTAGTGATACTTTCAGAATGAGGCCTTTTTTTTTTTTTCTTTTTCAAAGCCTTTTTGCCTGCTATGAAAACCTCTGTAGAA